TGTTCACGCTTTTTTTGTTTTTCTAATAAAAAAAAGCATCAGTGGTGAGGATTGACTTTTTGTCGTGTATTTGAGACGTTTAATCAATTTAAATCTGTTGAATCTCTTTTAGTTGTTTATGCTATGCTTTTTGCTGTCATAAGCTAAAATATGTCCTCACATCAATTAAACTTCAAAATTCATGGTCTAGTTTAGAGCGTCTCAAGGGATTGAAGGCTGTCTCCTGTGGTTTGTTTCTTGTTATGGCTAGAATACACATGGATTGACATTTAATAAGATTGCCTAATTTCTGCTTAAGTAATTACTTTATCCCAGAATAATTGAGCAAAAACAGCAATATCCTCCTGACATAGCGGTCACTTTACATGACTGACTTAAAAGATTGAAACTTACGTTTGACAACAGCAAGCCATTTTGGGTCAAGCCGGTTCTTGTCATATGCTCCAGTGAAATTTGAGTTGGTTAATTCTTCCTGGGAGAAGTGCATGGCGAGTATTTTCAAGGCTGTCTTGTACCTTTCAGTGCTTCTATTTAGGACTTGGGACACTTTGGGGCCCGTTTTTGGTGTTAAACTCCTTAAAGAAGGTAATTCTGTGTTTGTCGGCGTCTTTGCTGCGTTTACAGAACTACCCTAATGAGAAGAAATTCACTCTATATGATTAACAAGGGGCATGGTAGAAGCATAACAACAATTTTCCCATTCGCATACGTGCCTCTGAGCATTTTCTTAGAGGAAATACAAATTAATGGAAATCTTTAGTGATGGCTTTTTGAAAACGTTCAGAATTCTAGGTCAGGAGCAAAATCTAACAAAACGGAACCAACTATGTTATTTAAAAAACAATTCCTTGTGCATCAACCATAATTACAACTACTATGGTCTCTGGCATCATCAGAAGAGCAGGCCCAATTTCATGGTGGCTTGACTTATTATTGGATTAATGCTTACTGAAGGTGGTGTTGATCTTGGCTGTGCGGGAACTGCATAGTTCTTCAACGTTTCTAGACTGTCATTGAGGTGCTTCATTGCTGCCCTTGTTTCAGCCATAAATGAAGTTAAGGTGACTTCCATTCTTTTTAGTGTCTGGCAGAAAACATGGTAAGAAAAACAGGTCAACATTATGTCACTTCGAACTTATCAGCCAATTTAAATTCAAAGTTGTCTTAATAATGGACAGTTTTTGCAGCTTACCTCGAAAACCTGTAACTGATCACTGCCAGTCGTCTTCTTGAGTGGGATTGTCTGAAAGCCAGTCCAGCCATTCGATATGCAAGGACATGTCTAACATGTCTTGGGCTTCCTTGATCCTCTCGCGTTGTTCCTCTCTCCGTCCCCTTTTCTCTCTCTTTTTTCTGTCCAGTTCTTCCCTTTTCCTTTTCCTTTTCTTCTTCCTTTCTCTCTTCTTTTTTTCTGTTCTTTCCAACTCTTCCCGTCTTCTTTTGTCTTCCGTTTCTTTGTCTCCCTCTCCTTTCTTTCCAGTTCTTCCCTTTTTCTTTTCTCCTCCCTTTCTCTCTTCTCTTTCCTTTCAAACTCGTCCCTTATTCTTTTCTCTCTCCTTTCTTTCCAATTCCTTCGTTTTCTTGTCCTCCTCCTCTCTCCAATTTTCTTTTATCCTTTTCTTTTTCCTTTCTCCCGTCTTTCTTTCCATTTCCTCCATTCTCCTTTCCTCTACTTTCGCTCCCTTCCTTACCTCAATTTCTATTTCCTCGCATCTCCTTTCCTCTTTCATTTCACTGTCTTTTAGATCCTTTCTTTTCATTTATTCCCCTCTTTCCTCCCCCCCCTGCTTTTTGTGTTTAACAATTCCTTCCACCTCTTCTTGTGCTTTTTGTCCCAAGTTTCCTTTCCTCGTTTTCCTCTTCTACCCTCCCTTATTTTTGTCTGCTCCATGCATCAAACGCCAACTCGAATCCCTTTGGATTTTCCCTTCTAAATATTGCGCATACAATTCCTCCTCCTTCTGTTTGGAGATGGGGAGGTCTGAGGCATTGTCTGGTTTGTCACGCTTTCTGTTGTTTGCCCTACCGTTTTGATTAAAGTACCTGATGTCATGCGTTGGGGAACTGGAACCTTTTTTTGTTGTTTGCCAGACGGAAGTGGCGTGGCTTTGGCGCCAATCCTGAATTCTGAAAAATGGTGGACAAAACTAACAAGAAATGTATCACTTTAGAAACACTCAAAAGGAAATTATCAAAGAGGACTCATTAGAATCTCGGGACAGCCAGACATCGGCAAAATTTTGTCACAAAATGCAAATAAAGTTAACAGGCACTAAGAAGGAAGTGCTTGAAAGACTGCTTCCTCTCAAAAACGAACACTTGTTCGACAGAAGAGTTAACAACATTTGCAAAAACTGAGGTACAAAAACACACAACAGGTAGGTAGAAACACACACACTACTCCCAAATGTTCTAACCTACACATGCCCCTCCCGTTACAAAAACAGTCTGATGAAAAGTATAAACAAGTCAATTAAAATAAACTAGGTCCAAAAACCTAGATTTGTCTATTAGGGAACAAATCGGCCATTGATAAATAGTTTATCAGGTTCTGATGTGCTAAAGAAAGCAATCTTTCCCTCCTCTCTTGCTTTTTTAAGACGTGGTCACTGTTTTTTTCTCTTTTGCTTATTTCAGTAGGAAAATCTGCATAGACTGTAATATCGATATCATCTGCCAGCTTGCGGCTCTTCTAAAAACCAGCTCACAAAGCGTAGAAACGGTCAAATAATTTACCTTCTAGATTCTGTAACCTGCTTTCTACCCCTACGAGCATTTCGAAGATCGTTTCCAGTTGAGTAACGATTTTTTCTGTCATGTTCAAGGACTCCAGAACTTGATTGTTGTCGCTGAATACTATGCTAATGTTCGGTTCCAAGCATGGACTGTTGCGGGCCTTTTTTCCTTCTGAAGAGCAAATGTTGCCTTCACTTTCCGTTTACAACTTTGAGCCATAAGGCGGGTTCATACTAGCAAAGTAAGTAGACCTTAAGTACAGCAGGAGCCCAAGTACACTTGAGAACATGTATGTTTTCTTACTGTGGTAAGCGTTCACATTTAGAATTCAAAGTATGCTTGAAACAATCGGGGTTGTCAATCAAGTTACGCGGTAAAATTTCGCGTGCATGAAATAGTGTGATTAGGATTTTAACTGCGATATGCACAAAACATAAGTACAACATGCAACCTCGAAAACTTCGAATGGCTTACCTTGTGTTCCTCATAATTTTCTTACTGCAACGACAGAGAGCTTTGCTATTACAGCAATTTTACCACTTTCTCATCGCAGAGGAAGAATTTAGAGTGAGACGGAGAAACAGACAAATGTTGCTGATGTTCATGGCCCAAATGAGACAACAAAATGTGCAATGCAGAAGAAGAGCTTGGGTTTGGCCACGTCCCCAGAACTGGTTCAAAAACTTACTGGCAAGCCCTGCGCTAAATTTTCTTTGGAAGGAACATTTTAGAGTCACCCGAGAATCATTTGAATACTTATGCGACCTTGTGAGAGTAAACCTGCAAAAGCAGCACACAAGATTCCCAGTCCCTGTTAGCGTGGAGGAAAGAGTTGGCCTAGCACTCTGGCCACTGGCAACAGGGAACAGTTACAGAAGTTGTGGGTTACAGTTTGGATTAGGAAAGTCAACAGCGAAAATCATCTGTAGTGAGTTCGAGCAAGCTGTTTTTGATGTAAAAGATTGTTTCATAACATTTCCTTTAACAAATGAGGAAATTGGAGAGAAAATTGAGGAGTTTGAGGAGCTGTATGGAATACCGCAAATAGTTGGAGCAATTGATGGGTGCCACATAGAAATAAATGCTCCACCACAGAATCACGAAGATTATTTTAATCGAAAGCAGCACTACAGTATAAATCTACAGGCCATAGTCGATGCCAAATTGAAGTTCATTCATGCTACTGTTGGNCACTCTGGCCACTGGCAACAGGGAACAGTTACAGAAGTTGTGGGTTACAGTTTGGATTAGGAAAGTCAACAGCGAAAATCATCTGTAGTGAGTTCGAGCAAGCTGTTTTTGATGTAAAAGATTGTTTCATAACATTTCCTTTAACAAATGAGGAAATTGGAGAGAAAATTGAGGAGTTTGAGGAGCTGTATGGAATACCGCAAATAGTTGGAGCAATTGATGGGTGCCACATAGAAATAAATGCTCCACCACAGAATCACGAAGATTATTTTAATCGAAAGCAGCACTACAGTATAAATCTACAGGCCATAGTCGATGCCAAATTGAAGTTCATTCATGCTACTGTTGGGTACCCTGGAAGTATACATGACGCTCGAGTTTTAAGGCTAAGTGGCTTGTACGAATTCTTAATGGTCCAATGCGAAATATCAATGGAACAGAAATCGGGCCTCTTTTAGCTGGAGACAGTGCCCATCCACTCACAAACTGGCTCATGATACCCTTCCCTGATAGAGGTCATTTAACTGCCGAGCAGAGGAAATTCAATCTTAAGTTCAGCGCACTGAGATGCATAGTCGACAGAGCTTTTGGCATGCTTAAATCAAGATGGAGGATTATTTTGAAGACAATTGAACAAAAAAAGAGAACTTTGAAGAGGACTGTAATTGCGGCTTGTGTTTTATACAATATTCACATTGAAAGGGGAGACCTACACGACGCAGACGATAGCGACTCAGACCATGGCTCTGATGATGACAACGGAGGGCAAAATGCTTTTGAAACCCGCAACAATATTCGAGATACGTTAAAAGACTATGTGTGGGAAAACCTGTAAATTAATGGTGCTGTAAACTTTTTATAGTCTTCTTTGCTGTTTCACATAAAAACGTGAAGCATAAATCAATCCCTGTTCTGTTACAAGGTTGTTTTTTCTTTACAACTTCAGATTATACATGAGTCACTGCCGGTACTAACATGATTGAATGAAGAGTGAAAAAAATAACATTTTCTTGGATTGAACAAATGTGATGTATAAATCTCTAAAGGTAAAGAAAGTTAACTCATTTTCTGCCCTACTTTGACAGCAAGTCTTTGAAAATGTCTTTAAAACCTGTAAGTATAGCATTTGTTTGATCCATTTGCTTGTTCTGGGCCTCGCGAAACATTTCAGCAGAACGTTCAAATCTCTTGTTATCTTGTTCAATACTACGCTTCCACATTTCCATAATGGCTGTCTGGAATTCACCTGCAAAAGATCCAGTCGGTTCTGGCTCATCTCGACGCTGTCGTTTTCCCTTACGGCAACTCTTTTCTGCGGGCTTGTCGTCTGCCTTCTTTTTGCCAGAGTGGGTGGTCGGATTTGAGGCTGGTGGACTGCTTTCCTCCGGAACATCTTTACTTTCTACTGAGCCTCCTTTCTGCTCTGTACTAGTAAAGATGGAGCTTCCTTCAACGGCCATTTTTGTTGGATTTATGCAGTCGCGATGCCCCATTACTTCGTCAAAATAATCAAAATATGAAAAGTCATCTTTGATGATTTTTATTCCAGTTTCTCCGGTCTTCTGGGTTCGCTTTTTTAGGTGTGTATACTCGTACTCCGAATTCTGTTGGCGTTTCTTGATCTGTTGAAGGGTTCTCTGGCTCTAGGGAAAGGCATTCTTGTAAAGTGTATAAATTTCATACCATATTTTGATCTTTTCCTTTTGAGAGGCACTTCGAAGCTGGTTATACCTGGGCCCCCACGCTTCCAAAAGATCTTGAGTCTCGTTGTCGGTCCAATCAGCCGACTTCGATCGAGCTTTCCTTGTCTTACCCTTTGGCTTTTCCTCCTCTGACTGTAAAGATGAAGTGCTTGCAGTGCTTGCTACAGAGATGGGCGATTGCGCTCTTGACACGTCAGAGATGTTGTGGATCGTGCTGAGCTGAGATGAATCTTCAAGTTGCTGTCCATGAAACTACATACGTGTCAACTTGGACGGCCAATAAAAAGAGTTGCTGGTCGAAGAAAGGGGCCATTACTGTCTACCAACCACAGGCGGTTGTAAATGCTCAGGAGAATTTACTCGGCTTTCAAAATGCTGGTTCAAGTTGTTTCTGTTGAAGAAGACATGAGTGCAGGTTAATTGCGTGAGTTTCTGGGCCAGCTGCGCAAATTTAATAAATTTCACTCTTACATTTTACAAAAACGTGAATACTTACACAAGACCTTGGTCTAAATAGTCGTCATCCGTGGCTTGGTAAGAGGATCTAAAAGGATTCATTTCGCGATTAAATAAGCTAACAGGCAATGCAATCGACAGACAATGTTGACGTGTTGGCGTGCTCTTATGTTGTGATTCTCCTGCTTTTAACATGTTTGATTGACGTATCTTTGCGGAATGTGTGTAGATAAAACGTAAGTTAGCTGGTAAGGATAGTTGAAACTAGACTTGAGAGTGTACTTCGGTTTCTTTGAAGTCAACGCGTTACCATGGGCACAAAGTAGGCTACTTGAGTTGAAATTCGACCCGTTCACATCTAAAGTAAGATTCAAGTATACTTAAGGTCCACCTACTTCGCTAGTATGAACCCGCCTATAGACTGGGTTTAAGGACTAAATATTTTAAGAAACGACAAAACGTGCACGGGAGTGAAACATGCGCGTCTTCACTCGGACACGGTCGCCCCAGTCTCCCCCAGTCTCCAAGTTTTTCAACATACCCATGAGTACAAATTACGTCTGGTAACTGATTTTTTTATTTTCTTTCATTGCTCCAATGTGCACTTCAAATTACATGTTTCCGCCAGTTTACAATGTCGTTCATGAGAACTTTTGCATAGCCTTTTTGCAATTCTGGATCAGTTGGCAACGTAAATACTTGACCTCCTTAGTGCGAAAAGTATTTGTGCACAAAGCACTTACACAATTCCAGTGCCATCCTGAAGTTTTCTTGCTGTTCGTGACCGCCATTTTGGAGACCAGCTCACTTCCGTTCGACAAACAACTAAAGTAGGTTCAAGGTCCAAAAAGTATGAACATGGGCAATGGTGCGTCAACTCTTTTGTCTGTGGTGTTTGAACCTGTTGCCATTTGCTTTGCCCCACCTTTCAAAATAATTGATTTATGTACTGCCAGTATTTAGTTCTGATTTATGTGTCACCCTTTCAGCAGCTTCAAGACTAGCCAGAAGTGTTGACTTTGGACAATTTTCTCCAAAATAATCTGTTCGAATAATTACTTACGTAATAAGCGTTTTTATCTGTTACATCTGCTGTCATCCCTTGAAATAAAGCTAACTTTTAAATGAATAAATGACAGTAATATATCTCAGCTTAGTTAAATATGGTAGTTGAAGTGAATGTTTAGTAATCTAAGTTAATTGAAATTCTTTAATTATGGCTTTGTTTTGATTTTACTAAGAAAATAAAAACAACTGAGTTTGGTAATTGAACTCGCCCAAAGGTTCATCAACTTCGATTGTATTCAACAGCTGGACAACACTAAGTTCGATTGTCAGATTTGTCAATATTATACACCATTGATCACACTGGGTGCGGTGGATGTTTGCGTGAGACCATCCTTTGTAACTATTGCTACGTAATAGTCCACTTTAATTGTAGCATTGCTAATAGCACTAACCTTTTGGTTGTTTTTTCCATGCAGTGACCACAAAAGCGTTGTACCATCTCGAAGAATACTTCACACGAACATTTTGGCCTTTCTCCAAGCTAAGGGAAAAGGTGATCAATATTCTTTCACCCGATGGGCGATTCACGTCCCCCTTCTAAACTATGAATGCATGCACTGCATGCATGCTGCAGCCATGTTTCTCATTCGCGACACATGCATGTAATGTGCATGCATGCATGTCAGGCTCATTGCATGCATCCTAAATGTATGTTAATTAAAACCACAGAAATGTTCTAGAAAACTTCTTTGAATATTTAATTTGTCCTGGTTATAAACAATTACAATTACAGTGACTATCAATTTGTGTTGTTTATTTTTTATTTTGAAAAACTGGACTCTTAAGAATGAGAAGTTTTCACACAAAAAAGAATAATTAAATATTATCTAATAACCTTCAAGAATGATAATTGTTCTTTTTTTAACTTCTACTGGTTTATTTATAATAAAAATTATATAACATTTACATATTTCTGTAAAAGTATTTTGTTTATTTTAGGAACTGGAAATGGTATGTAAATGCAAAAAAACACTAAAACTGTAACAATGAGAATACTGGCTAATACTTAAGAATTGTGGGGCTCTGTGTTAAAACATGACCCCTTCTAAAACTAACCTAAAGTGTGATAAACTGACTTTTTAAATTATATAAAAAGAAAAATTGCCTAATTTTCCTTTTTATAGATCGTTTTCACTCATGTCACCAAAAGCCTAGCAACCGTCACTACGCCGCCATATTGGTGGACCAAAAGTGTAAACAAACGGGGTTGCGTGCTCACTGTAAAGGTCCTGTGAAGATGGTATTTTGTTTGATAGTTGGTTGTGCAAGCAAAAGTACTCGAGGTGGTTACAAACCAAGGAGAAGAAGCTAAGAAATTATTGAAAGAAAGGGGTTCACTGTGGATTTCGGCTATTAGTCGGGATGATTTAACAGAACAGATTATCGCAAATGATCAAGTCTGTGACTGACATTTCGTCTCAGGAAAAGGAGCAAAAGGTTGGGACAGATTTAACATTGACTGGAATGTTCCGTGGCACATCGTTGAGGACGAAAGAAATATAGATGACGCCCTGTTCACCTGGAATAAATTGTTTTCTGAGGTTGCAGATTCTCATGCACCTGTCAAAAGACGACATGTTAAAGGAACACCACTTCCTTGGATGAATAATAAAATCAGCGAAACAATGAAAGAACGAGACTGGATTCATTGAAAGGCGCGGAAATCAAACTCCTCTCAACACTGGAACACCTATAGAAAACTGAGAAGCGTGGTCAATTGCTTAGTTAAATCTGCCAAGACGAAGTATTACTGTGGCTTGTTTCAGGATGCCAAAGGGAATGCGAAAAAAATGCATCAAACTACCGAACTATCTCTATTCTGCCTACACTCAGCAAGATTCTTGAGAAAGCTGTACATACACAGTTATACCAGTTCCTGGTTGTTCTTCACAGTTTCTAACACTACAAAAATGCCACACCTTAGAGCAGTATTGAAAGTGGGGCAAAATGAAAGCATTATATAACTTTACCTTGATACCGGTACATATAAGGTAATATTAGTCAACATTATTGTATTGCTCGAGAAAATAGAGGGGTGCACGGAATAAGTCCCTAATTGAGTGACTCATGATCTAATATCAAGTTCTCCCTTGCATTCACAAGCATATAAACATGCACTTTAAGGCCTCGCACAATCATGTTAACAGTTCTGTATGGAGCCCTATAAGGGACACACATCTTTTCTATTTTCGTGCCACTTTTAGTGCCACTTTTAGTGCCACTTTTAGAGCCACTTTTAGTGTGTTACTTTTAGTGTGCCACTTTTAGTGCCACTTTTAGTGCATGTAAGAACGGATGTACATATTTAAAACTAGTATATATTTTACTTGATTATGTGCTAGATTATTTTTCTTTTATTATTGATGGTTGTAAATTGACCAGCATTGCACAGACAGTAACGGCAAGACTAACATATGGTTTACATGTAAGAGGAATAACCCCTCTGAGGAAGTTAAACTGTGAATTTCTGTCGCCTGATCATGCGCTCAATATGAACCCCTGTCAGATTGCAACTCGTCTTGTGCAAGTTGATGCTCGTGCAGATACATTATTCTTGCGCATCATTGGGGGTGCAATTAGTACAGTGTCATGTAAAGCTAAAAGATCTTGAATGTTAAAGCCCTTATCAGCCATTACAGCATCGCCAGGTTCAGTTTTTCAAGGAAACCACTAACATTTACAATCTCCTTGTCACTGATTCTTCCACTATACAATTTTGAGACAAAATTAAAGTGCAAAATAGCAGACAATGAAATGAGTAACTTAAATGTATTTAAGGACTTGTATTGACTGTAGGTAGAACTTTGGCTGGACGGTTTACCTGGTTTTCCAACATAGAATTCTGTACAATCTATTATTGCTCCCAGATTTTTAAGGCAATTCTTTTGGAAGCAATTGGGTTTTGATATCTCTCACAATTCCTCCTTTGTTGAGAAAGGTAAAAGAAATTCCAACTCCTTTTCAAGAAATAAAATCCAAGTTATAAATATTCTGCTTCCAGTCCCTGTAGTAATACCGAAGATATCTCACAGCATTTCAAGACTTGGGTTCCTTCTTAGTCTAACAAGAGTAAACACAAAGTGTTCTTTGGTTGTCAGCTTGGCAAACTCTTTCATGTGGGGCTGGGTAACAGAGTTATAAGTCAACAAAACGTCAAGTCTCTGAAATAGACTACCTTGATTACTTGTCCTAGAGCTTTCCAGTCTTTATTTTCGTGAACCTTTCCACACGTTCATGCACAGGTCGTTCAAAGAGCAGATAACTATCCAGCGGATGAAATGTATCAGCTGTAATGCATTTTGTCAGCTGGATAGCGACTTACCCGCTCTTTGAACAACTGGGACCTGAATGATCTAGGCGATCGGCTCAAATTATGAGGAAACATTGCTCAGACGAGCGATGAGAGCAGAACCACAATTCCCAATACTTTGTCAGCTTTTTCTAATATAATAACTCATTCCCACCAAAGCCCAAGTTCTCTAGAGGAGAGGCGACTCCAGAGGTGATAGGAGAGCTCAAAATAGGCAGGAACACAGAGTAGCGCTGCGTGGAGGTGGAATAGTCGCCGATGCCTCAGCAGTTCACGAAAAGACAAAATACACGTGAACTGAGAAACTCGGGTAATATGGTTGTGGTCAGCAGCATTATTTGCCATTACCCTAATTGTGATTGGGTTGGTAGCATTAAAAAACAGAATGTTTCTTCACATGGGCATTAACGAGAAATTTGGTGGGAAATTCGACTTTATCTCATAAAAATGTATCTTTCAATCTAGGAGCCATTCCTTCTTTCCAGTAATTCTAGTCTTAGATTCATTTTTTTATTCAACACATTGTAGCTAATCAAAAACAGACTGAATTCTTTTTCTTAAGTTTTATGTCTGACAAGGTTAACCTACAACGTATATGGTTGACCAAGAATATCATCTAATGGCTTGAATCCATACTTTTGACCACAAATAAGAAAAATTAAGAGGACCTCGTCACCTTGATTCGGTCGACGTCTGTAATTGACAGTAAAAGTAATTTTAACCAACCAAAGTGCAGCAGAATATTCCGCAAGTGAACGAAGTGACTTAACGCAACTCCCTTAACTTTCGAGTTTTCTTAAGTTAATTGCGCAATAGGCCAATGCCTATGCGCTGTTGATAACGTTCTGTGATATATATCAGACACAGAGGCCATAACAACACTGAAAGAAATGGATAGTTTGGCTTCTTTCCCTTACTTGACAGCTCACGTAGTTTTCGGGCCAAAGTGTGTTATCATTATAAGTCATAAATAAGGTCCAAAAGGACAGTGTATAGTTGGCAAGCCTTGTCGATGGTAGTGGACGTGTCTAATCGCTCGTCTTCTATTATCATTTCTCCCAGATCCTTGAAGGCAGGACAACATCCTTTTGCTTGTGGTCACGTTGCGCACATTTGGTCTGCAATTTCAATTTTGTCTACGTCGATCAGGGTAGAATAATCTTGCGCACCTTTCAGCTCCGGAAGAAAGTAAAGAAAATCTGGCTTCTCAGAAGGGGATTCCAGATTGGCAGATGGTCTAATTCTATGAACATTCCACTCCAGGNTTCTCCCAGATCCTTGAAGGCAGGACAACATCCTTTTGCTTGTGGTCACGTTGCGCACATTTGGTCTGCAATTTCAATTTTGTCTACGTCGATCAGGGTAGAATAATCTTGCGCACCTTTCAGCTCCGGAAGAAAGTAAAGAAAATCTGGCTTCTCAGAAGGGGATTCCAGATTGGCAGATGGTCTAATTCTATGAACATTCCACTCCAGGACAACTCTGTGTAGCTCTTCTTGCATCAAATCCATGAAACAGAATTTTACGCATCCTCGATGTATAACGTTCTTATCATTGTACAAACCAGAATCTCTTAAATTCTTAAAATACTCTATCCACCAGTCTGCACATCCCTTTCTCAAACGTCTCCACCATGCTTCTATTCTTTGATTTGAAGTTGATTTTCCGTAAATGAACTCCATTCTCTCGAAAAATCATCCTCAGAGGACCTGCCAAAGAATCTTTGAATAGCTGCAAGGTTCACCATCTCAGTTCCCCTGTCTCCCAGAATAATGCGTACAGTAGCTCCTAACTGCCTAACACAGTCAAGGTAATACTGGGCTACTATTTTGGGGTCGTTATTTGAAGATGCTACCTCAAGCCATAAAATTCTTCTATTGAAAGGTTTCAATTTGTCATAACCGTCTATAGACCCTTCTTCGAAGTCTATACCTTGATCGGTGTTCCACTCCTTCAGGGTCAAAGACCTTCAATATATGCCGAACAACGTCTCTCGTAGTAACAAGTCCGTAATGATTCACGAGTCTCTGGTGCATTGCTCTGTACCCAAGAAGACTACCGCTTCCCCTTAATTCCCCTTGCACCACCTGTACTATTTCATCAAGGGCGCTTTGAAAGCGACGTCTTCTACACCCCAGCCTCCTTAGAATCATTTTCAAATGTTTCAGACTAAAACATTAACCATGCACACTTGCAAGGAACAAAACTGTTTCTTGAGCAGCAAATCTAAGGTTATTGTAGGTTTCAATTAGTTTGTCTTGAGCAAGAGCGTTACCTCTGTTTGCAGGCAAATAATTCGGAAGCACTCCCCTTGAAGTTGTGCAAATAGCTGCTAAAAGGAATATTGAACAAATCTTCATAGCTACAGCGACTGTCGAACTTGTAGGGGAGGAAAAAAACCAGAACTCCTTGAAGAGGAAATTGATGTATAAGACATGCACAAGTGGTGCGCCTGCGATTTGTATTATGCTGATAGTGAAAATCGCACTAAAAGTGGCACGAAAATAGAAAAGATGTGTGTCCCTTATAGGGCTCTGTAGTTCTGTTTCCTAACAACGCAAGTGTAAAAAACAACAACACCAAACATGATGACACTTTTCACACTTAAGCAGCCTCACGTCTATAGTGTAAGAGAATAAATAAAAACCATGATGGTGACTGATACTGAGTACGCCTGTACACAGTATTAAAGATGACCTATTAAGAACTGCATTTAAAGATGCATCAAACCGCTCAGAGCTGCTAAAATGTGGAGGTAACTTAAATTCCATTTTACAAGTTGATGCAGAGATGTCTGAGATTTCTTCAGCACTAAACTTTATACAACCTGGGCGAAAAGCTATTGTTGCCAATTTACATTCAGTATCCATACTCCTGCAAACATAGGTCTCCTAGTACATGTATAGGTCTCTCTAGTCCTTGCAACCACCGCACCTCCTGCAGCCATAGGTCTCCTAGTTCACGTACAGGTCTCCACACTCTTTCCAACCACGGCAACCCCTCTCACCATGTCCCCCAACCACTGCAACCCTGCAATGGTAGGTCTCCAAGTATGTGTATAAGTCTCACCATGCCTCACAACCATAGTTCTCCCAGTACAAAAGAATATTGCGTATTTTTTAGTTTTCAACCATCAGAATGTCATGTCTTTTAATAGTGTTAGTCCGCTCACTTTTCTAATCACTAATTCATCAGCAAAAGCGTTATGACAGGTAAAAGGTGTAAGGAAGTGAATTGATACACAAGGCATAAATGAGGCTCTGCATCATGAATATGCGAAAAGTAAATATGTAGCTTAACAAAACACAACTCAAAAATATAATTTAACATGCTGACTAAAAATATAACTTGAAAAACTTCCTTTTAAAGGCATTTACCAGGAAAAGGCTATCAAAGCGAAAACACCTATTATAAATTTTCTCAGGCTGCTAAGCGTATGCAATGCGGAAGCCAATTATGTCAATAAAAATAAATATTTTAACACTAGTTTAGAGGAAGTTCTTAAGAAGTTATTATAAAGCCAGTGCTGGTTTAAAGTCTGCGAGGATATTTCCTGTGTAGAAAAATTCATTATTGATAAATATAAGCTTTTCTGTCAACCACCTTTTGTGATAGCAAGAACTATCTTTTCCTGTTCTTTCACCAGACTTAGCTTCCAATTCATAAAGAAGTAGATAGGTCTGGTTCTCGTCATAGAAGTTACTATAAAATTCCTTCCATTTCTCTTCAGCTTTTTGGCAAACCAGTGAAGATTTTGCAGAATTTAAAGTTCGCAGGGCCACCTTTTTTCTCCTCTTTGGTTTGAGAACCATTTCTTTTTCATTCCACTCGAGCAAACCAATATAGATGAGCACTTCCTGGTCTGCCGTCGTGGTGGACTGCTTTCCTCCGGAACATCTTTACTTTCTACTGAGCCTCCTTTCTGCTCTGTACTAGTAAAGATGGAGCTTCCTTCAACGGCCATTTTTGTTGGATTTATGCAGTCGCGATGCCCCATTACTTCGTCAAAATAATCAAAATATGAAAAGTCATCTTTGATGATTTTTATTCCAGTTTCTCCGGTCTTCTGGGTTCGCTTTTTTAGGTGTGTATACTCGTACTCCGAATTCTGTTGGCGTTTCTTGATCTGTTGAAGGGTTCTCTGGCTCTAGGGAAAGGCATTCTTGTAAAGTGTATAAATTTCATACCATATTTTGATCTTTTCCTTTTGAGAGGCACTTCGAAGCTGGTTATACCTGGGCCCCCACGCTTCCAAAAGATCTTGAGTCTCGTTGTCGGTCCAATCAGCCGACTTCGATCGAGCTTTCCTTGTCTTACCCTTTGGCTTTTCCTCCTCTGACTGTAAAGATGAAGTGCTTGCAGTGCTTGCTACAGAGATGGGCGATTGCGCTCTTGACACGTCAGAGATGTTGTGGATCGTGCTGAGCTGAGATGAATCTTCAAGTTGCTGTCCATGAAACTACATACGTGTCAACTTGGACGGCCAATAAAAAGAGTTGCTGGTCGAAGAAAGGGGCCATTACTGTCTACCAACCACAGGCGGTTGTAAATGCTCAGGAGAATTTACTCGGCTTTCAAAATGCTGGTTCAAGTTGTTTCTGTTGAAGAAGACATGAGTGCAGGTTAATTGCGTGAGTTTCTGGGCCAGCTGCGCAAATTTAATAAATTTCACTCTTACATTTTACAAAAACGTGAATACTTACACAAGACCTTGGTCTAAATAGTCGTCATCCGTGGCTTGGTAAGAGGATCTAAAAGGATTCATTTCGCGATTAAATAAGCTAACAGGCAATGCAATCGACAGACAATGTTGACGTGTTGGCGTGCTCTTATGTTGTGATTCTCCTGCTTTTAACATGTTTGATTGACGTATCTTTGCGGAATGTGTGTAGATAAAACGTAAGTTAGCTGGTAAGGATAGTTGAAACTAGACTTGAGAGTGTACTTCGGTTTCTTTGAAGTCAACGCGTTACCATGGGCACAAAGTAGGCTACTTGAGTTGAAATTCGACCCGTTCACATCTAAAGTAAGATTCAAGTATACTTAAGGTCCACCTACTTCGCTAGTATGAACCCGCCTATAGACTGGGTTTAAGGACTAAATATTTTAAGAAACGACAAAACGTGCACGGGAGTGAAACATGCGCGTCTTCACTCGGACACGGTCGCCCCAGTCTCCCCCAGTCTCCAAGTTTTTCAACATACCCATGAGTACAAATTACGTCTGGTAACTGATTTTTTTATTTTCTTTCATTGCTCCAATGTGCACTTCAAATTACATGTTTCCGCCAGTTTACAATGTCGTTCATGAGAACTTTTGCATAGCCTTTTTGCAATTCTGGATCAGTTGGCAACGTAAATACTTGACCTCCTTAGTGCGAAAAGTATTTGTGCACAAAGCACTTACACAATTCCAGTGCCATCCTGAAGTTTTCTTGCTGTTCGTGACCG